CATAGCCTGGACGACAGTTGTCTGACCGCAACGTGGTAGGGCCGTGGTAAAACCAAAGAAGGTCGGGAAGCAACCGAATGTTCTAACACCAAAGCACAAGTCACACCACAATACCACTGCTGTTATCAGCAACACAGGTAAACGATGAAGGCACAAAAACTATCACTCGTCCACCGTTGTTTTCAAGAACTCACAGGTGGACGAAAAAGGCACAACAAATCCCTCGCGGAAGGGAAGATGGTTGATGAACGACACTAATATGCACTTGTAGGATCAGTTTGACCCCCAGGCAAATCACAACAGAGCACCCTCGAAACAAATCCACGTCTCCTCCGCCAGCAACACATGCCACATTCAACGTACAACGTTGGGCCAAAAAAATAAATGCGCTTACGACCACCAGACGAAATCCTTGCGTCCCACCACCCCGTACTTCTGGGGGTTCCGTTGAGCATCTCCGGGTCTTGCGTGCCTCATAGGGTTGTTGAAGCATGCCTGGCACATCAAAACAACCCGGTCCTCTGCCTGGTTGCCAACACCAAACTCCTCGCAGGCACATCCTTTTCCAAGTCTTACTCTTGCATCCGGGGTGCATGCACTTGCGTTGAGTCTTCACCGAAACGCTCCCCCACACTTTGTCCGGGGCACCCGTCACCGCCACCGGTCTCCCCCCCTTGTTCGGTCTACCAACATTGCACCTCACCATGAGCTCCGCCAACAACATTTCGTCCCAGACCGCCCTCTCCATCTTGGCCAACCTGCCCAGTTCGACCAACATCCTATCCAACTTCTTCACCACCTCAAGCTCTAGGCCTCCTCCCTTGACCCTCTCGTTGGCCTGACCCTCCAAGAGGGACACGTGCTTTTTGAACATCACCAAAATGTTGGTGAACGTCTGCTCAAACTTGCCCTCCATCACTCGTCGCCAGTGGTTCGTTTACGACTTGTGGTCATGGGTGTGGGACCCATTCTGATGGTCAGCCGTGTCTACTCCCCCCATGTTGGCAACGTAATCCTTGCTCATCCACGGCTGCTGAGCTCCAAGCTTTTCCCAGCCTGACCGGCTTGGCGCAGACTGAACATGAACTGATGGGGACGAGATGGCAGGGGACAGACGAAGCACCTGCGTTAGGCAACACACTATCCACAGCAGGACCCACGCACTGGAAAGAGGGCGTCAGCCCCTGTCAATAAAACACTACACAAGCCCCGAGTACCTTCCCGACCGGTGGACGCAACGTGTGTGATGAACCGAATAAGAAAGAAAACAACGCGAATCGCCGCATGTTGTCAAGCACGAAACCGAGGACTCCATCTCACGACGAGCCAGTTTGACCGACGGCTACACGAGCGAGACACCCGACATCAAAACACAGCGATCAATATGAATCTGGGGAACAACGAAAATGAAAGGAAGTGGTCGTCGCCGCCGTCGTCGTCCTCTTTCTTGGGCTCCCCGATGGCGGCGCGAGTTTGGGCGATGTGGATGGAGCTGCACAGAATGATTCCTTGGAGCTGCACAGAATGATTCCTTCGAGTCTAGCCACTGTACGAATGCGACATTGCCGGCGCGGGCAAAGTGCATCTCTCCCACCTCGACGGGGCGGCGATCGAGGCTCTGCAAGAAGTAAGGAAGGGCACCACCCGTTCGATTTGACCGGCACGTACCCACCGCGAATATGTCGTGGCTCGCGAGACACTCGAATAGGGTCGGGCTTGTGAAGTAGTTGTCCATTGCGATGTGCACACCAGAGCCGTCGATCTTGTCACCGAACTTCTTGCAGGCGCCGAGTAGGACATGTAGGACGTGGCGAGTGGTCCCCCCCAGTGGGCAGTCGAACCAAACCCTCAGCTTCGGATCCCCGTTCATTCCACCGTCGACGCTGCTGACGAAACAATGCCCCTCGATGTCGCAGATCGCGAACAGCTTCATGCCTAGGTTTTCAACAACATGAGCAGAGAAGGACGATGGAACAAATTGTCAAGGCGGCACACCAATGACGCACGCGTGAATTGAGCTTTTGGACTTAATGAGAGGATGCAAGCTCGATCGACTTTCGGACAGATATCGACGAGACGGTTCCAGTGTCCCCCTTGTTGGGCAATGCAATTGCTTTCGCAGTGGAACAAACGGGCGTTGAAAATCGGCCCAACGGGCGTGACATGTCATGTAACCTGCGGAATATTCACCACACGCACGCAACGAGGGCATCGTGGGTGTCCTTCAGTTACAGGCATCATGGGCGGCCTTGAGTTCCCCGGTGAATATTGTGTTGTGATATCACCCCCCCTCCCCCCCCTCCCCCGAGACAAACAAGACAAGCGGTCGGACTTGAGACGTATGCATCCTCGAGGAGATGCCGCAACGTTCCGCTAAAAATGGCATCACTGGGACCGAGCATGCAATCTGAATGCCACTAAATGGACACGTCGCGAGTGTGGACGATCGAGTGCGAGGTTTACTGCTGAGCGTGTGTATGTCTGTGTCGTTTCGTCATTGGTGAACATCACCACCATTCATCCCTCCCCAGATAATTTGGAGTTACCAAGTATTTGTTATACATTGTCCACGCAAGTGGGGCTGGGTCAACAAAAAAAACACAATTCCCACTACATGAGGTTCTTCAAAACCGAACATGATACAAGGTCTCGACACTGTTCCGAGTGGTTTGTACACTGTTTTTGTTCTGTTTTCCCGCGGTGTCGCATGTGCCGGGTTTTTGCGACCACGGGCTCCCCATTTTTGTGGACTATTGAGCAAATGTGAGAACCAACAACAACAACAACAACAACAACAACAACAACCTTTGACTAACTATCCACCGAATCTCCCAACGGATGTCCGGCACAATAACAGGTCAGACTCGCTAGGAATAGCCTATACGACACCGTACATGAAACCCGTACCGTGGGTGATGCGCTTCTTGGGGTTGTGTCTCATGAGGTAGTCCGCGAGCGTCGACATGGTCTTCACCATCTGCTCATCGTAGCACAGCCACTGGGTGAAGTCCATGTTTTCCGTCCATGTTTGTTCAAAATGTCTTCCAGCTCTCTGCCGGTGCAGCGACGTCAAGAAATGAAAGGTAGAAATTTGCAGGGAGGTATTGCGTTAGTTACAATGGTGTGAAAAATGTGTGGGACAATAATGGACATGCGAACGTACAACCTGTGGATTACACACTAACCAATCCGTTGCTATGATAGTCCCAACCGTACGATGGTGCCAGCCTCCAGTATTCGACGCGGGGGGCGGATGGCGGAGGACAATGATATCTACTTCTTGTTGCACGACATGCTGAACCTTTTTGGGTCTGGGAGCTACGTTACTCGCCGGTCTGCCAGTCCCAGGTTCCGTTTCGACATTTTGTTTTTTACCACACAAAAGACAAAGGGGGGAGAGAGTGCGGGAGAGAGGGAGAAGTGAAGGAATAATGGCAAATGTACTTTTGTAGACGCAACAACTACCTCCACCTATTCGCTACTAGGGCAGCCCGCGACAGGGCAATGACATCTCGTAGGTTCACCCAAGGGTTCTTGCGTCGCGGTGCGGCTGGCCTTCAAATCTCTTTTCAGTATTTCTAACCCCAAGCCCCAACCCATAAACCTGACTTTTGTACTTCTCTGTCACTCGCGAGTGTAAGTCCCGCCGACTCTCTAGATTTCCTTCTTTTCCCATTAACACACTACCACAGCTCGAAGAACTTGTCAATACTCGAAGAAAAGGGATAGAGACGTCGGCAACTCCACGACTTGCTACCATACCAGCTGCTGCAAAAAAATCAATCAAATTACAGTCATAAGGCTTGAAGTCCAACGAGGATTTGAACTATGTGCCACTTCGAATCGAAGTCTGGGTTCGGGGTCTTGTCCTCGCCCGTCCAACGAGGAGGAGCGTTGCCGACCGAGCAGTGGATGAAACGGCAGTACAACAGCTCGAACAAGTCGCGCGACATGCACTCCCACGCTAAAAGATAGTCGTCGTGTAGCGACGTACTCCAGTGCTTCCTCATGCTCGTTTTCTTCGTGAGCCCCATCGTGATCGTGATGCCAAGCATACCGTAGATGTGCTTCCGCTCGAATGCGGGTTCGGGCAGCGTGACCATGCCGACAGTTCTCGTCTTCTTCACCTGATGCGCTTTCTGCGTGTCCTTCGCTCCTGGGAGTGGTGGCGTGGTGCAAAGGTTCACTTACTTGTTGGTCTGCGAATAGACCACGTTTTTCGCGGAAGAGGACAGGGACAACAAGACAAAGGAACAAACGATCAGCATGGTATTCGCACTAGAGGTCGCGCCGACGCGCCGAATATACACGAGGAGGTGCTGTGCCCAAGCCGTGGCAGACCAACATGTCCATTTCACCTTTTCTTCATCTGCATACTCTGTCCGAAGGCATCTTGGAACGTCAACAACATTGAAAGGGCGCACAACAAACTATTTTGTTGCACACCTACGTAGTACCCATTTTCAACAGTTTGTTTTTTTTGCAGAGGTGTGTGTACCACTTTTCAATGGGGGCCCCGCGTGGGAGGTGGGGAGCTGATTTGGTAAGGTAGTCCTAACGCGCGCTTCCATCGTCTCTTGCAAACCACAAGCATGATACACAACACTGACTGGAGCTCTTCACTAAGTCGATGAATGCGTCACCACCGGCAATACCTGCGTGCCTGAATATATGATACGATTGGATCTACTTTCGGGCAGTGTGACCAATGCTCATCTTCTCAACACAAAGATCATCCGCCTCGTCCGGGAACATCATGTCGAAGCACGTCATCATAAACCCATGTAGCGGGAACTCACCGGACTCGTCGAGGCTGTCCATAAACGTATCGAGAGAGGGCAGTTTCTCGCGCGCGGACGCCGACAGCGAGGCAGCGCTGACCGTGTCCCGCTGGGTATTTTCTTGTGGTCGTCTGTCCCCGCAAAGTCAGGAAGGCCGCGGTCCGTCCACACGACGTCCTCGTCCTCCTCGTCCTCATGCTCGTCCTCCTTCTGCTGCTGCTACTGCTGCTGCTCCTGCTCCTCTGGCTCCTCCCTCTCCCGCCGCTCCTCCACCTCCACCTCCTCGCGTGGTCGATGCTGTTTTTCTTTTCTCTCATCCGCCTTCTTGAGCCTCGCCTTCTCCTCGTCGTCGATCGTCTTGAGCTGTGTTGAATACGTCATTGAGAAACAACGTCGACAGCGGATTCAACGCGGTAGGTGTGTCAATTTTACCCCCCGGAGTGTTGTGTCCAAGGGGCAAAAAAAGAATGACGCACGACGCTACGGTGTCACCAAAACCGACGAAACCAAGGAGCGAGGGGTAACAACATAGGCCGGCAGGGTAGGCAGGTCACGCACGTGCAATTACATACTACCTCTCAACTCAACGTTCGTCGCCCGCTGCTAATGTAAACTCCACCCGTGCTGAACAACAGCAGCCTGGTACGGAGGCGACAACCTCAACAATGCTAAGGATCATGCAAGTAACCAGGGAGGTGTCAATTACCCAACGCGTAAAGATCCTATTTTTCCGAGGCACGCGACAACACGCGCCGAACGGAAGTGCATACCTTGATACGCGTTTGTTCATTGTGGATAGGGTACTCGCTATGTGGTATCCCAAGCGAAAATATATATAAAAAAGCTGTGGAAGTACTCTTCAGCGATGAGCACTCATTTTTTTACTCTCAAGTTTACACAACCATCATCTCTATCGTCTTCTCTTTGATCCGCCTGTTCGGGCGGACAATGCCAACAGAAGAGCCTACCCGAACACAAACGTACCTTCATGCCCAGCGCCCTCCTCTTGTTGGTCAGCCAGAACGCCCGCTTGTAACCCCGCTCCGGAATCGTCTTCATGGCCATGACCAGTTATTCCGGTTCTGCGACATGGTAGCGAAGGCGCCCGGGGTTTGCTTGTGGTCTACGCCCCCCCCCCCGGATGCTGCCGTCGGAATCATAGTTGGCATTGTCGTCTTTGCCGTTGGCCTTCGAGAATTTTCTCCCACCGGTCGGTGTAATTTTGCCTTTTTTTGGCACCGTTCCCATCCCCTGGTGCAACCCCCGCCGTGCGCTTCCCTGGCGCAACCCCAGCTTTCCGCTTCCCCGCGCAACCACCGCCTTGCGCTTCTTCCCTGGCGCAACCCCGGCCTTGTGCCTCCCTGATGCATCCCTGCCCTTGAGCTTCTTGTTCTCCGCTGTCTACCCCGCGGTAGGTCGCTTCACCACGACCTTCGGCCCGATCTTCCCCTTCTTTTTCTTTCCCCCTTCAGCCTTTCCCCCCTCCCGCTGTTGCTGCTACTGCTGTTGCTGCCGCGGGGGAGAGGTCCCATGCTGAACTCGGGATGGTCCTCCTCTTCTCCACCCACCATTGAGGACCCTCCCGCCTCCCCGCTTGCTGTGTAAATCGCTTACGGCATCAAAGTCACCGTGCCTAGTTGCAGCTTCGCCGATGCAACGACTTCGACGAAGGAAGCAACTGCATTGTGTCCAAGCTGCAGACGGTCGAAGTGGTTGAGGTTATGGTTTTGATTACGCGTTAGCCATGGATTTGCGTGCTCCCGATAGAGTAGATGCACCCAGTGATCTCCTTCCTCGTCCATTTTGTCTTCTTTTTCGAAGAAGAACATGCCTGCCGTGTTGTTTCCTGAGTACGCCTGGACGTTGCCGTGCTTAGCGCTTGGCTCCCACACCGAATGTTCACCCCGTACTCCGAGGCCAGGAAGGACATCCAGGTAACGTCCACCCACTTCTCCGCACTTTGCCAGGCTAGATCGCAAAACCACACACCCGTCTTGTCCTCCGTGGCCATCTCGTGTTCGACATGCCCTACAACATGCGGTACCTTCACATTGAGGGCCCGCCCAAGTTGGTCCTTTGAGAGTAACGTTGTCGAGTCCTCAGGGACATCGGGTGCGCCCATAACATGTTACACTGTTAGGATATTCCGAACTGGGGGTAGCTTGTCGCAAGACGTGTGTTGAATAGGGTATCGGCAACTCGGCGAGCTTGCGCCGAGGAGAAAAACTTGTTGTGATTAGTTGCATCCACGTAGTACACAAACACAAGCCCCGTTGAGGGGGCGACGCCGTATACAAAGGGGTACTCTGTAAATCCCTGGAATCCATTCTATGTCATCCGGTATTCCGCTCTACCTCATTCCATCGGAACATCCAGCACCAACCACTTGGCATTGCTACAAGTATATCTATCAGCCCCCCTGCTTGTGACTATACCATGTCTTCATGATCTTTCAGTAACTACTCCAAAACACAAGAATATAATCCAAAACACACCTCAAACCTGCAACAATAGCCTTCTGGGCTAGAAATATATTTCCATCCCCGATCATTCCAGTTGTAGTTTTTCGATAATCATAGCGATCCAATTGCCCCCCATCCTAGACCACCATTCATTGAGAAGACCATAGGCAAAAATGTAAAACAATGCCACCCTAGTTCTTTGATCAAACACAAGTAAATCAAAATCTACCGTTCCTGTGCCACACTCATCACGAAATTAGGATGAAACTCAAAATCTCCGACGTGAAGTGCCTTCGCGAGGAAGTCAGCATGTTGATACGCTGATTCCACGTGAAAAATCGAAATCTCCATCCTGCCTACCAGTTCCCTGTAAAAAGTGGTGCCTAACGTTGATGTGCTTCGAGTTACTGTTTCTAATCGGGTTCTGCGCCAACTGAATAGCCCCCTGGTTATCCTCGAATACCGGAATACACGGCACATCTGCTTCTGGCAACATGAAACGCCATACCTGCCTCAGAAATAACACTTTCTTCATCACATCCGCAAGGGAGACATACTCCGCCTCTGTCGTTCTCAACGTAACGCACTTACTTCTGCGTCCTTGAAAACCAAGAAAAACATCTCCCCACACACATCACCAAGCCTCCTGACACAGACCTCCTATGGGCAGCCTTGCTTGCATAGTCTGCGTCTGCGAACACCTCCATGCTTAACCCCGCTACACTACCCCTCCTGAATGTAATCTCCAAGTCACTAGTCCTTACCACATACCCCAAAATGCCAAGACCTGCTCTCCAATGAATTTCTTTGGGAGAAGCACAGTACCGTGCTACCGGTCTTACTGCATTCGCGATATCGCCTCGTTTGCGTTGCCAGCCACATCAGTGATCCTATCAGCTCGCGAAAAGGCCATGAAACAACTTCCTCATCCTGGTCAAACTCAGAAAGCTTCAACCCTACAGGATGAGGAATTTCCTTCCCGTACTCTACCCCAACTCCATCCCCCACTCTTCAGCGTACGTCTGCTGCGAGATCTTCAAAGTCCCTGCATCCCANGGTCTTACTGCATTCGCGATATCGCCTCGTTTGCGTTGCCAGCCACATCAGTGATCCTATCAGCTCGCGAAAAGGCCATGAAACAACTTCCTCATCCTGGTCAAACTCAGAAAGCTTCAACCCTACAGGATGAGGAATTTCCTTCCCGTACTCTACCCCAACTCCATCCCCCACTCTTCAGCGTACGTCTGCTGCGAGATCTTCAAAGTCCCTGCATCCCAATCCCTCATAAAAACATCCAGAGTACCACCTCAAGTCACCAAGATTCTTCACCGGTACCATCGTGTTGAGTTCCCTACCAAATTGGTCACACCTCTCCTCCTCTCCAATCGAAAATATGCCATCCACATGTACTACCAGAGTCACTACCACTCTTCCCTCCTCGATCAACCGAAACACAAACGTATCCGCCAAACACTGAATAAAACCCAAACAAATCAAACACCTCGCCAAGTGTGAATGCCATTGCCTTGATGCCTGTTTAAGGCCATACAGACTCTTGTTCAACTTCACTATCATCCCTGACAATCTACCACATCCCTCTGGCAGACGCATGAAAACATCCTCACCCAAATCCGACTGGACAAACGCTTGCTTGATGTCGAAATGACGAAGAGAAAGATTTTGCTCACACGCCATCGCTGCCAACAAGCGAACGCTAGAAATCGCTACTACAGTCGGTGCATACGTCTCTCCACAATCTACATGTACTCGCTGCATATCTCCTCCCGCTACTAGCCGTGATTTCGCACTAGTCGGCCATCCATACTTTTCAGACTTCCAGTTAAACACCCACTTGGCCTTGATGACACTCTGGTTGCTACATTTCCTAAATGGTACCAGCCTCCATCAGACCTCTGAACTCCCTCTCTACAGAGTCTACCCACAAGTCAGCATACTCAGAGGACACAGCCTCCCTATAAGTGTTGGGTACGCGCAAGTCGTTGGCATAGCAATGTGGCAAGTCCGGTGCCACTTCCGGGGGATTTAAATCCCTCATCGTTCGATCAATGTCCTCGCGGGAGGCCAGCAAGGTGGCGCACGCAAATGGGACTTCTTCACGCAGTCCTTCTGTTTTTGTGCCCCCCCGCTCTCGCCCCCCCGGCTCCGCTCCTTCACGTCCAGTTCACGGATGGTCCTCGCAGTGAGCGGCGGCATGTTGGCCGATGGCGCGGCACAGGGCGGCGCGACGGCGGGAGGCGGTGGCACGACGGCGAACGGCGTTGCACGTGGCGCGGTGGTGGTGAACGGTGGCGCGGCGGCGAGCGGCGTTGCACGTGGCGCGGTGGTGGTGTACGGTGACGTTGCAGGCGGTGGGGTGACCGGTGGCGATGGTGGTGTGGAAGTTGCCGGCGGCGCCTGTGATGATATGGAAGCGGATGAAGTGGGAGAGCGGGCGAACGGTGAGGGGGGTAACAGAGGCGGTGAATTTTACTCTATTAAAAACGGTGCGGCGGCGACATCCGAATCCCCCCCCTCGCCCGCCGGCGCCGGTATCTCCAGCGGCGGGGTCAGCAACGGCGCGCGGTCGGAGACCCACACGACGATGTTCGTCATGCACACGCGCCCCGTCGCAAACTTGAGGACCTTGACCAACGACTCGTGATGGTTGTCGCCGTTGTTGAGGTAGCAGCACAGCACTGCCTGGGGATCCATCTTCCTTGCCCGGGGCCATGACGGGGACAGCGAAAGCAACATCATCGAAGAAATTTGCAAATCAAGCCTCAAACATCAAGTCTAATAACTCGTAGGGGTCTTCGGATACCTCTCTTTGTTCCAATAGGTACACAGCCCACTCGTAATCTCCCTGCTCCGTGTACGGAATGCATCNCTACTTTGCCAAAGGTGGCTCAAAAATGTCTTCCCTAGTCTGTCTATCCTAACGATATCCCTTCCCGCCTTTTCAACCCACCTCCTATGCCCCAGTACAGCTACCGTCCTTTCCTCTCTATTCCATGCCTCAAACATCTCCCTGTACGTTCCATCTATTTTTCCCAGCTCAGTCACGTACACTTCCCTCTCCTTGTTGTACAACAGATATTCCACGACTACATGAACACGGTCTTCGCATTCGAAGCCGCAATCACATTTGAACT